CATATGCCAATAAACACCCTTTGTCAATGACCAACCTTCCACACCCTCTTACAATAGACTAGTAAACGATCTCCTTTTGCCCTAAATCTATATTCTTGAGTAACAATCTCCCCCTAACCATTGTATATTCTCTTGTGAAACCAACCAAAAACATGTGAAAGTGGATGCTGATCACCTGTCCTAAAGGCTTTAATCAGGTCATTGTATGTCATTGTTTTTATTACGGTTAGATAACGAACTCCTCAAACAAATGAATATTCATATCATTGTTCTTAATGGTCCTGTAGCGAGAGAAACTTTTCTGTTTACTCCAAAACCTGAATTAATGGTTTGTTTATGTTATCAGATATACAACCCTTCTTCATCTAATTCTTAACCGTTTTTTTTATGTTTTAAGTTCAGCCTACACTGATTATAATCCAATAACCTTCATAATGTGTCCATGCCATGAACAAATGGCCCTCTCAAACTCATCCAAAAATCAGACAGTATCCTCTTATTTTCTTCCTAGTGAATCTCTTCTCTCTGTGTTTGGGAAAAAGTTAAGTGATTGAGGCAGAGTTTCTTATCTTCTGGCAAAGAGTGTGGGATAGTACTCAGAGTCTGTTCTTCAGTGTTGACCCCACAGGTCCTCCAGAGAAACAAAGGTTTAATTTATGTGTTGAAAAACACTAAATAAAATATTTCTATATATCCTCCGTAGACTATATTGTACAAAATTACTACTTCTGTGAACAGTTCTAAAGAAAAAAATAATGTACTTTATCCTTTCGGTAGTTTTTGAACCAATTGTCTCAATGGCAGATCATCCGAAAGCTTGGTTACAGGTGTTAGGAAACACACCTACACAGATGCATCTTTATAAATCTAGTTGAGGTCTTAGTGTCCTGGTGTCCACTTTGGCACATGTGCATCAATTCAAGGGTCTTGCTCTAATTTTGACACACCTGGTTTAATTTCACCACACTCCCAAGGTTCTTGCTGGAGTGTAGATACAACTGTGTCAATACCAAAACTGCAACCGTGTTGGCATTATTGTTACTAGGTTGCTGTCGCATCATTCTGGCCGCAATTAAACTTAAAAGACACATGCTGCAACCTTCACCCTTTTTGTGTTTTCCTTATTATTGGCATCCTGTCCAATGGACTGATGCATGGGTCTGGCTTATATAAACTCATGGAATATCTAATCCAGTACCCTTTTGTGGTTTTCCATGTTTTGTTGCGGTTTCTGACTTGTGTTATAGACCTGGCTATAACTATTGACCTTAATTTGTTCCAGTCCTGTTTCCAGCATTTCCTAATTTGGCTACGTTATTGACCATGAGCATTCCTTCACTGTCCTTGTGTACTAGACCCCACTACCTTATTGACCATGAGTTGTTCCTCTTGCGAATACCAGACCCAACCCTGTTCTTGACCTTGGATTTGCTGATAGTTTTCTATTGATATTATTTTATGTACTCCTCCTGATATTTTTCTATCTCCATCTAGCATTAAGCCCAGCCACTTTAAGGTCCGGTAATATGCCTATATAACATTTCTCAGTTCCTTAGGTAGGATTGATGATCTGTTGTTGAGGACTATCACGTATGCGGAGAAGTCCATAGTCTATACTCACCTCAAATCTTTATAAATAAAGGGAGAAGACTGTTTGTTTCCCTAAGACCTTAACATTTGAGTATGACCAGGCAAAATCTACATGATTTGTTTTTATTGAGCTGGTGAACCAGAAAAGAAAATTGTCCAAGTCAAATCGAAAGAAGCCGAATACAGGTTTCAAAGTTGAATCTTAAGCATCAAATAGTATAAGGGAGGAGACAAATACAATGTTCAGCTGTTTTATGCCTAAAGTATGTTGTAGACATTCTTTATTGAGGTTTTCAGACTAATGCAACAATGATCAATGGAGATTGGAGGATATAACGATGTAATTTACCGTACCAATGTTTTAATTTACATTATAGCTACCAAAGCTATTAGAAAAGATAACTGCAAGAATGTTACTTGTAAATATAGGCAGCTAGGGACCAAGTTTTCATGACTGCAGACCCAAAATCCTCCCAGAACCATCCGCTGCCTATTAACCACACAGACACAAAGTATAGTGGAAACGGCAACAACCACAACTTTATTAGCAATTTAACATTCCAAACCAGCCAGTCTCCACCCTTTACACACTGTCAGCTGTTGTGGGGAACAACCCAACAGATGGTTAACCCTTCAATTTCATAAGCCTGTGGCAGCCTGCACTTACCATCAGCCTCACTTGCAGACTGCAGGTCTGAGGTGTATGCCATTCTCCCTCATTAAATCCCAATTGTCCTCCTCTAATGCCCGATGGTGTACCACAACCCCTCCAATATGCTGAACAAATCGTGATATTTTCATATTAACTTTCCTACGACTCCTCTCTGGTAAATTGCGCCAAACAGGATGCGCAACAATTTCCGACCAAATTAAAACTAACTCCCAAAATAGAGTATGGCCGTGCACCAAGTCATGTTTGATAGTAAGCCACTGCCTCAGATCGTTACCCCAGTGCAACACAGTTTGGGTAGAACTGAACTCACCTTAAACCTTTTAAACCACTCCATCTAATTCACATTGCATAAAATGAAATACCCAGGTTGTGACCATATGTTCTCTCCCGCCAGGTAGATGAGTGTCGCAATATCCATGCATAGTTCAGCAGACAACCTAAATAAAACAAGTTAAACTAAATGAAGGGGAATATAAAGCCAATACCAGGACAATGCCCCAAGCTCCTCAGCGTATCTACCAGAAACTTGTGTAGCGGTCCCTATCCTAAAGGGGTGAGGAAAATAATGAACAGGGTAAACTCTCAAGCTAACCAATGAGGAACAAAAAAATCCAGCTAAATTGGGGCGGAGCCTGCAAGCCTAACAAGCGGACACCATCTCTAAGAGCTCCCACACTCTTGATTCAATCTAACCAAATATCTCTGCAACTATAGCCCATACGACCCTCATACCATTTTAGCTGGGTCCCCAAAGCCGAACCGCATCGATAGATGCCTTTTTTTCACAATCCGAGGCACTCCAAACCGTGACGAAAAACCGCGGCCTACAGCACACCCCTAAGCCTGGGACTGGAGGCACTCCTCTGCGGCAGCACCATACTCCCCCCACCGGGATCGGAGCCACTAACCTCCCTACCACAATCGGAACACCGGAAGGCAATGGGGCGATGCTCCCAAAAACCTAATACAGTGGCTGACGGCAGAGATATAGGGGACATGTTGAGACAGCTTGCACAGCCTAAGCAGACTCCTGCTGGAGACCGGAATGAGGAGAACCGGGCACAGGACGGACACAGCCTACAACACCCATTCAGGCAAGTCAACTACATCCAATTGATATCCCAGATGGGACTGCTCCCACAACAAAACAGGACTTAAAACTCCTGCTTAACGACATGCAGCAAGTATGGACAGCCGACCGCAGAGCACTGAGAACTGACATATGAGAACGGCCATAAATGACAGAGTACAAACCTCTGAAAAGGACATATTAGCTGCCAAAACCGACATCTTAGCCCTTAAAGAGACAGTACAACACTTGCAAAACACCCAAGTCACACTGACATACCAAATCTCAGCCCTGGAGGACAAACTGCGCAGGAACCACATATAAATCCGTGGCATCCCTGCTGCATTGACCGCAGAGGAACTCCCTCATTACACACGCAGATTACTTGCATCCATACTGCCACACACAACAGCCAAAAAGATGGCTGTGGATGGAGTGTCTCGTGTTACGGGCACACCTAAAACACCAAATGGAGCGGCACGAGACGTCATTCTTCGCTGCTTAACCTCACAAGATAGGAACCAGATCATGATGGCGCTGAAGAATAAAACACCCCCGACCTTCGAAGACTCCACGTTAACATTCTATCAAGACCTCACCAAAAATACTCTAATCTGGTGGAAATCACTGAGCACAGTTACCTCTCAACTAAGATCAGCAGCCATACCCTACCGCTGGGGGGGCCCAAGGAACTCTTGTAGTAACCCGCAACGGAAATAACCACACACTTATGTCAAAAGAAAGGGCACCGGCCTTCCTCTAAGCACTGGGACTAACAGGCAGCCATCAGGACCCACAGTTGACCACCCCCAGGGGTACATGGGTCCCTGCTCAAGTCACCCCCTTCATCCCGAGAGCTGGAGGTTCACAGGCAACTGACACCTGAGGACAAATGGGGACTGGGCCAATACTTATGGCCACAGCACCTGAACAAAAACAACTGGGCTAAAACTCAACACGAGTCGTTATACATGTTCTGATCTAAGTTGCAATTGTATATTTGTTTTTTTCTTTCCTGATTTCTCTTCTCTCTGGCTCTCTCTTACACACACTTCAGACCACCGCTCTATTAGAGCGCTAGAACCCGCAGAGACTAGAATCTCGAGGCACATTGACACACCAACCCTTCCCCGCCCCCCGCCACCACCCTCGGTTAGGGGCACACATCTCCCACCAGACGTCCTGGCAGAGCCCCAAACGAAACACAGCCACACACTCCAACATCTCAGCCACTAGGCAACTGACACCCCATACACCGGGGAATTCCTACAAAACACCACAGGCATACACAAGAGATGCCACTGCAACCCTCCATGCAGAACCTCAGTTGACTCTCCCTCACATCACAAGAGCACACCTGAGAGTCTAGCCCCTCGAGACATTACACACACAAAACTCCTCTCAGAAACGCACACATGGAAGCTATTTCTTGTTATTATGCATACAAAAGAAAATGTGGAAAAGCCTGTTTTTAAATTGTTTGATATCACTCATGTCAAGAAAGAAAAAAAAAGTGCACATTATGACTATGCTAATGCTAAGTGAAACGCTGTCAACTTCTCTTTAAAGCCATGTAAAATTGCTGAAACGTTTACTTAACTCTGCACTCAAAAATAAAGAATAAAAAAAAAAAAAAATCCAGCTAAATTGATATTTCATCAGAGGAGACATGTCAGCATGTATCAACAGTGCAACTAGAGAAACTGCTAGAGTTTTGCAGGAACTGCCAAAGCAACAGCAGCACAGACAGAGGAACCCCACCATGGCACAATTCCAGACCATAGAACCCTTTTCCACCTGATTATTTGGACTCTCCCACCCCATTTCGAAAAGATGCGTGACGCAACTTTCATTGTTTACCAACCCCATCCCACCCAGACAGGTATGACGAGTGATGAATTAGTCCCGTGGGGTTTCTTTTTAGGCACCAGACCCAATGGTGAAACTTGCAAACTGACAAACAAAGGTCTATCAAAAAGACATGCCATTTGACTCAACTCAATCTCATTTGCCAATTTGTCAGCCAGGATTTCTTCTTTTCCTATTACCAATGAGTAAGTAATGAGAAAACTGACTGAACAAACGGAATCCAGAAACCCCGTGAAAAATAATCCCATAACTCCTCTCTCTCCCTAACTCTGGAATACTGACTTAACCATGGTAGCTTCATTGCCACGCTTACTGGAGTCCTCCAAAACTTCATCCTCCTTGGACCGTGGTTTCCCTTTCTTAAAGCAGTGCTCTGCAGGGTGAGAACCCCCACAGTGGGAGCCTTCATGTCTGAATCGACATGAACTGTAACATCTGCAATGGTGGTCATTAAACAGTCAACATCAACAAGAACAGTCAGTCTCGCTCAACTGATCCAACCAGACTGCTATTCCACACCCAGCAACCACATTATAAACCTTGGGAACAAAGTATCCTTTCTAATGGGGCGCCCATTCCCCATTTTTTTCCAAGGGGATTTCTCCAAACTATAACTTTCTGATTATCTGCAGAAGGAACAAAGGCTACCTCTCTGGGTCATTCAAGCAAATCAGAGGAAGAAGTGCTCTGCAGTTGTGTATATTATCGAGATGTACTTAAACATTGAAAGTTTGTTGTTTAGAATTTGAGTGTTGAATACAGACATGTTATATTTCTGGTATGCCCAAAATGGACTGGATCTGGTGTGCATTATATCAGTAACATGGCTGGTACCATGGTGGCCCATTACTGAATACCATGTAAAGTTGTAGGAGCCACGAAGAGTTGAAAACACAATTTCCATTTTTCCAATTTACTGCACCAATGTATATTATATACATTTTTAAATGGACAAAAGGATTTTAATTTGATGTGACATTCGGATTTATACATTTTTATTTTTTATTTTTTTTTAAATGGCAATTATTTTTACATAATTAGTGAAACTAAAGAATATTCAGAATAAACTAATTGATTTGCCCTGATGTACAGAGTACATCATATGTCTATATTTATTTTGGCAGTTGGAAGTCACAAAATACCATGAGTAAAATACAATTTCAATGTGGAGTGATTTTAGACTTTGACATGTGTGATGGTAGTCACCCTTACTGGGAGCAGAAGGGCACGTTACATAGGTTCATGATTTGTTCTAATGTTTTAGTTACACTGTACCCATTATAGATGCACGTTGTGTATAATATAATTGGTTGTGGTTCAATGTTTTGTGTGCTCTCCTGTCCTTCTGATGCTTGCTACCAACTAGGTGTATTTGGCTATGGAGCCTGTATAGCACCATCTGCTGGTAGCAACAGCTACATGCACTACTTGAAATGAAAAATGTGCTAATTCGCATATTCAGGTAGATTCACATTGTGAATTCTGCAGGCAGGGGAGATATTTTGTGTTTTTTATTATCTCCCCCACCCCACTATACATATGTAAGTGTTATTATAAGTTCTTGTGTGTTTTCGGATATGATTTGATTATTTGTATTTTTATTGAGTTGTGACCATAAGTTAAATGTAATAAGCATATGGGCAAGTCCAGAGAAAAAATAAGTTGAGTATGTTAGTTCCTTTTGGAACTGTGTCCTGTGTTGATTTTTATGGATCCCAGAAACAAAGTCTTTGAACCTGTTGGCTGGTTGCACAATTTCTCTAGCCCAGGGGCAAATCAAAAATAGAGCTAGGCTTGAGAGACGCAAGCGTCTTGATAAAGACAAGAGCTATCACATTGCAGGCAGAGGTGCATACCTGCCTGAAAGAAAAGCTGCAGAGGAATGGGCAGAGGGGACGATGCCTCCCTGAAATAAGGGTTGTAGAGGAATAGGTTGGGTTGCAAATGCTCCAGAGAGACCGCAGTCAAGCTTTGGTAATTGAGGATGAAGTGCTCCAGGGTCCCGGCAAGTGGCTAGGAAGTGAACTGGGCAAAGGAGCTCGGGCACAGTGCAGAAGATCCATCCAGTGGCGGACCTAACACTGTTGCACTGCAACCGAGCCCGTCACTCCAGGGGGCCCGGCTGCCCTGTGGTCCCTTGCGACCGGGGTGTACACCATCCATGTGATGCTGCCCAGGACTGCACGCTGCAACCGCCAAGGCAGCACGTTCAAGAGACCATCGGGTGGCCCATGCTGTTAGGGCCACCCGATGCAATGTTTTTCCAGAGGCCGGTCAGCACGGCCGGGCCCCTGTGATGAGGTCGAGTTCCTGGTATAGAGTGATACGTGTGGTTCCCCAGTAACCAGCAGAGAAATAGGCCCTGCTGATAAAATGCTGCATGATGGAATTATTTTGTCATGGGTTCTTAATTGTAGAACATCGATGGCTGAATAATGCCATCAGCCATCCTTAACAAGTTCATTTCAAACTTGTAATCATCACAGTAGATGTAATTGGGCTACATACGAAGCACTGGGTTGGTTGTTTTGCTGACAGACATTCAAGCATCATGAGATGCATTTGATGTGACACAGCATGAACAAGGAATTGTGTGCTCGACAAAAAAAAAGCCAGGCAGAACAGCATTAGTTACAGAATTCTATTATGTAACTAATGCAAATGTATATCTGTGTGTTGCCTTGTTCTGCGCTGCATATTATACCAAGCTGAATTGCTGTGTATTGTGTTACAATGTTCTGATCT